TGCCCTAGGAAAGCAACAGTTTCAGCTAATAAACAATTTCAAATGTAATTAAAGCTGCAAGCAGCGTTTGTCGGGTCCTCTGTCCGCGCTGCGACCGCATGCCCGTCTGACCGTTCTTCAAGTTAAACCTGCTTTAACCCGAGAACACTAACGCTAAAATTATGAACACTATCACTAATGCCGGGTATATTTTACCCGATATAATAATCTGGATAAAATATAGTTTTCATTCATTTATGTCAAAGTACAACACTGTATGACAAATTGTATACTCTTCTTTAATTTCCTAATATACAATATCACATAAAATTTTTAAAAAGGTACCATGGGGGACCCTATAAAAAGGCAGCAAAATTATTGAACAATCTGTAAGCCGTAACGAGAAATTTCCAAACAGAAAAAATAATGGAGCTGGGAACTTGTTCTTTGGTCCAGCCATTCCTGGGACATGTGAGCCTTGTCTGGTGAAGGCACAGTCTTCCTGCATCACTGACAACTGTGGCAGAGATTGACAAAAAAAATTGCATTTTTTTCAGAGGGGAAAAATTACCAAATTTTTTTGACTACATGAATTTCCTTGGAAAGACTCCATACCACAGGGGTCTCGAACTCCGGTCCTCGAGGGCCGCAATCCTGCAAGTTTTAGATGTTTCCTTCTTCCAACATACCTGATTCAAATGATCAGGATCGTTATCAGGCTTCTGCAGAGCTTGATGATGAGCTGATCATTTGAATTAGGTGTGTTGGAAGAGGGAAACATCTAAAACTTGCAGGATTGCGACCCTCGAGGACCGGAGTTCGAGACCCCTGCCATACCAGAACCAAACTGAGGCTCACATGTCCCAGTCCTACAATTTGTCATACAGTGTTGTACTTTTACATAAATTGATGAAAACTATATTTTTTCCGGAATATTATATCGGGTAAAATATACCCGGTGTTAGTGATGGTGTTACCAATTTTAACGTTAGTGTGCTCAGTCAGGAGTTTCACTGATTTTCTGGACATTTATTTTTTTTCCTCTCTCTGAGTGCTACAACTTCACTTGTAGCTAGCTAGCTAAAAGCTTAGCTTTAGTAGAAAAAATAAATAAATCTGCGTAGCTAATGATTGCAGATGTAAATGAACATTAGCTACATGTTAATCACTTGTTAGCATTGCAGAGAAACTAGGCCTGTGACANCTGACAATCCTGGCCCCCCAGTCTGTACTGGAATAGCAACAATCCTGAATATAAAACACCTGAGCACTCACCCTCCTCTCCTTGAAGCTGTGCGTCACAACCAGTATCCCATTTCAACAGCCACAATATGACTAAAGTAGGCCAGACAGACCTAAGGGTACTGTTACAAACAGCCATGGTTGTGCTCCCTACAAGTCCAGCTTCATAATCCACCAGTGCCAACTCTGAAATCCAGCCTGTCAGTCAGCTCCTCTGAGTGACGCGGGTGTTTACATCCACTTATGATTTGGCTCAGAGGAATTTGGGTTGCAGCGAGCCCTCCTCTTCAGGAAAATACACCCACGCCCTTTAGACGTACTGAGTTCCTGCATGAGCCACCACTGTTACTGTTCTTTTCAAGATAACAATGTGACCCAGACCACAGCCAAAATGATGTCAAAGCACAAGAAGCAATACACTGACCATAATAAAAGCAATAAAACTCGTTGTATCCGCATATTAAAAAGCTAACATGAACACAGTACACAGCAACTTGTGCTCTATAACATTTTTTTAATATCTCACTCTTTTAAAGCTTACAAAAGGCTTGACGATGAATGATTTTGCAATAAATAGGACATGACTAGATACAAGTGAAATGATTTAAATAACATGAAAGAGTGAGCTGATCTGAGATGTGCAGGCTGGAAAAAGCTGACAAGCCTGAACTGAAAAGGTGACAAAAGGCAACTCTCCAGCCATTAATTTAAAACTTTGTTTATAATGAGCTTACACCAAAGCTTGATTAGCTGGAATATGTACTGTGTGCTTTTCTACTAATTGCAATCTGTTTTTGTTTTTTTTAATTTATTATTCAGTACTACCCTCCCTACTCCTAACTGCAATGTTAAAGGTTTCAGAGTTCACAAGTTGAAAGCTATCCATACTAAAACTAAAAGTTCTTAAATTCTTCCATGACATGCATCCTTTTATTTCAATATTGGGCAAGACTTCCTCACATCCTCTTTCTGTGAATTCTTTTATTAGAAATGTCCATTCAGCATGTCTTGCGGAACCTTTTGTTTTTCAGGGGTGATTATTAACCCACAATTAAAATGTTGCTAATGATTTGCTGTTTTTGTTTGTTGTTTCTTAATCAGTACCATTCAAGCGCTATGAGATGACTGTTGTTGTAAATATGCGCTATACAAATAAAATTGAACTGAATTGAATTGAGTTCATTTTAATAGAAAGACCTGTAATCCTGCTTATTTAGGACATTATTGAATCAGCCAATCATGTGGCAACAATGCATCAGAAAATCCTGCAGAGACAAGTTCATGATAAAAAAGAATTGAGGCTGTTGAACAGAGAAGGAAGGCTTGACCAAGGATTAGTATGCTGCTCTTAAGAAAGTCCTCACTGAGTGTACATGTACACATAGCCTGGTGAGCCAAAACACTGTCATAACAGCATGCACCATCCTGCTTCCTGATTTTGCCAAATGATTCTTGTCCTGAGGACATGATTTCATATNTCAGGACAGAAATTATCCAAAAATGTATGAACTTATCTTGATCAGGGTGTTGTCACAGTTTGTTTCCTCTTTCTAAATATAAAGCTGTGGAATGAACTTTACAGAAATTCCTGTGAAAAAGGAAAGACTGAAAAACTTTAAAAATTTTTAATATCTTGGGTATTAAAAGTACTAAATATTTTTATTAAAATCATTTTTGAAAAGTTCGTTTTAATGTTGCATGTCTTGTCTTGTTTTTGTTTTTTTTATGATCACTCACTGTATGTTCATTGAGCACTTTATTTTGAATTTAATACAACAGCTCTGCCATGAATTCGACTTTAACAAAGTTTATAATTTTTGAGTTTTTGTTTTTGCCTGAAAGGTGATGTTTGTTATTGAAGTTGTAGCAGGTGGTGGTGGTGGTGGTGGAGAGCATTACATTGGAAAATGTTTCTAATATTTTGCTCCCTTCGTGTGTGTTAAAGGGGTGGACAACATTTTGTGTGAAAATATTTAAACAAAAAAGTAGAATTTATGGCAGTTTTATGTCATTGTATCACATGAGATTGCAGTGTTTTCTAATAAAGTGACTGTAAAAAAAAAAAAACTGCGACAACTTTAGATATCTCCAGTTAAAATCATCATTTGGAAAATATGTCTTTCCATAGTAGAAGAGTTCGTAATGACAGGATTTAGATTTTTTTTTGTTTCAGTTTTAGTTTTTATGCAATGCGTTTGTGTTCTCTTACGGCTGTTTTTGCATTCTTTCGTAATGTAAGTGTTATAATTTTTGAAAAAAAGGTTCTTACTGTAAACTAAAATATTTTTGTTTAACTGAAAAACTTTTCTCTTTCTATCAATTCTAGGGTCCTAAATGCCCTTGTTGTCAAATACTCATGTTTATCAGATTTCAGTCAAGTAATGCTTTTAAAATGTGTGCTTAGGCCACGTAGGCATACCTTGGGTTTCGTTGTAAAATTATTATTGTGTATTGAATCAAACTAGGAGTTCTGCTGCCTAACTGCGATGAGAATTAATCCTCCAAACACTCTGTGACCTTTAGTTTCATCAAGGCTATCTC